CTGGGCCCCGGCCCCTTGTGGGGGACACCCGGGGCCCCGTTCCCTGTGGGTGTCGGGATAGGTGCCGTCCTGGGAGCTGTGCGTGTGCACCGCTGCTCTTGTCATTGTAGCAGGCTCTTACCGATAAAAGCTGAGATTATTTCTTAAGCACCGTATGCCCAGCACATGCCACTTCTTAGGCTTTTTGGAATACGAACGTGCTCAGGCAGGAGCAGCCAGCCTCCTTCCTCTCAGCCCTGACAGCCTCACTGGTGTCTGCCTGTTCACCGGAGTTTTGCCTCTGGTTTTTACCCGTTTCTTACTATCTCGTTTGCATTACGTAGTATACGATTGTTTTGATACCGCGCTGGTAGATCCTAATGACAGTGGCAAAGTTGCAGAACTAGTGTTTTGGTTTGTTTGTTACAGTTTTCTGAGGCAGGGTCTCGCCGTCGTTATTCGTGCTCGCCTGGAATTTGCAGTCCTCCTGCCTCGGCTTCCCTAGTACTGGGATTACAGGCGTGCACCACCACACCCCGCGCAAAAACAGTTAAAACGTATTCATTTAATGAATATAGTTACTCTTATTAACACTACGGATTGTAAGTCATCTAACTTTAAAATTGATCTTTCTCGCAGTGACAGACACATGTTGAGCGCCTCATAAAGTGGGTATTTGCGGGAGGCTTCCTAACGTTTTATATCTTCTATGTAAGGGCTTTCTTCCTAAAGGCCTGTGTACGTTCCCTTTGTCATGCATGCTTTTCCTTCCCTTGGTTATCCTATTCTTCTTAAGTTGCTACTATTGGCCGGAGACCTTCCATGTGTTCTGTGTCAGGAACCACTCTTCAACTCCATTTCCAGGCAGGGCCTTATGCCATTGAGCTATATCCCCGGCCCCCACTTGATTTCCTTCTTCATTCTGAGATACATTTTGTGAGTAACATCATCATCTAAGTCAATTTAAAAGATACTGTTCAAAAGTTCGTTTTTAATGAGAGACATGTGTGAAATATATTTCATTGTGTTTGAAAGTCTTGGAACTTTGAGTTACGGGAACTTGAAGCCTGATCTTTGTCCCAAATTGGTTTATGGACTGTCATGTTTGTTAAAAACTTACTGTTGGGACTGGCGTGGTGGTGCATACCTGTAATTCCAACACTTGGGAGGCTGAGGCAGGAGGATCGTTGCGAGTTCGAAGCCAGCCTGGGCTACAAAGTGAGCTCAAGGCCAGCCTGAACTGCATAGCGAGACCCTGTCTCAAAAAGACAAAAAAAAAAAAAAAACCCAAAAAACTTGCTGTTGGGTGTTCTTAAATGAGTACACAAGTTTTTTCAATCTCAAGCAGAATTTTTTGTTGGGATTCCTCTAGTAAATTTCCATTATCCCTGGTTTCAGTCGTTTTGTAAACTGAGAGCTGACACATTTTTATTTTTTAATAATATTTTCAAATTTCATCAGAACTGTTCTGGAAGAATTTTAATCCGTGAGTAAATCCTAAAATTTTTTAATCCTAAAATACATTGTGTTTCTATGTTTTTTTTTCCAGTGTGAAGATGCAAAAGTTTTTGTTTTTTTTAAAATAGGTAATATGGAGTAAGAAAAAGATGAGCATGAAAAGGGCAAAAGTACAGATGGTGGGAGGACCCATACTCATCACAAGCTTCATACCCTTCCTTGCGACATGCTCTGGTCTTGAGTATGAGAGCGTTCCCCTAGTCATGGTGCTGTGGTGGGTTGTTTTGGTTGTTTCCTTCCGTTTCACTGTTCTTTGAGGGTGAATCCTGGGGGTGAACAGACAGCACATATTATTGCCAGTAAATGCATGTTGCATTAAATGAGAGCTGCACCTGGCATGGTGGTGCATGCTTTTAATCCCAGCACTCAGGGGAGGCTGAGGCAGGAGGATTATTGTGAGTTTGAGACCATCCCGGGATACAAAGTGAGTTCAAGACCAGCCTGAACTGCATAGCGAGATCCTGTTTCAAAAAACGGAAAATAAATGAATGAATGAATGAATGAATGAGTGAATGAGTGAGTGAGTCAGTCCCTGAACCATTGGTATCAATACTGAGCCAGGGACTGTAGCCTGTATCCTGGGTTATCACTCCTTAATGTGTAAATACAATTTACAAGGGGGCAAGTTAGGGCTGGGGGTTTAGCTCAGCGGCAAAAGCGCCTGCCTGGCACGCGCAAGGTCGTGAGTTCCGTTCCCGGTACCGGAGAAAAACCAAAAAAAAAAAGGGGGGGGCAAGTTATGTATGATAATATGATGAATTATGACAGTTAATGAACAATAAATTAATAGTAAATACCAAACTAATTTTGAGAATTCTGGAGCATAATTTTTAATGTCCCATAGGGAAAATAATTAACTTAAAAATGAGTATTTGGAACTTAGCATATGTAATTTGGGTTTACCTGAGAATAGAATTGAGTCATTTTTTAAAATAGATTTTGATTTAAGAAAAAAGTTACAATATAGTAACTCTGTAGTTTTGAATAACTGGTATATGTGTAACTTGAAAATTGTGTTTTGAAACAATACATTGTCTGTCCTTACAAGGACATTTTCAACTGTATTTGTAGTATTTTGATTTTATGTTGGACAACTTCTCTTTTTTTGCCTTAAAATTAAAATATAAAAATTTTTAATAAATGTTTGTAGTACATACTATTTACATTCATGAGCACTGGTATGTGTCCACAAAACATTTACTATAATTCTTTTTACTTCCACTTCCTCTCCCCTTGCTACCCTCCCCCTCCATCTCCTGGACTCATTCAATGTTAGGCAATTTCTTTTAACTTTGTGAAATGAAGTCAGCTTAAAATATTCTCAGGAGGTCACTGACTTATACATGCACAGTGCTAATGTTCATTTAAAAATTGGCTCATTTGTAAGTTTTGGAATATTGTTTGTGTGCAGATAGTTTTACAGCCTATGATGGCGATGAGCTGCCATTTATTAATAGCCACTTCTCAACCTGGTATTAGAATCCTGTTGTACATAATCTCATTTTATACTGTTGTGCAGATACTATTTACTATTGCTAAATACCATTTGGAACAATTATACTTTATAGATGAGAAAATAGAAGATCAAAAGCTACCCAAAGTCAAGGGCTAACAGTAAATGATCACATGGAGCTTTGTGGCTCTTTTTACTTAGCTTCATTGCCTTTGAGGAACCTCATGACTCACAATAGAGCTGGATAAATTAATATTGGAAAGATCTCTTTCCTTTCCCATCTAGTCCTCCTTCTTTCGGTTGCACTTTTCATTGAACATGTAGCGTGAAGAGACTGTAGGAATTTGAATCTTCAAGTAGAAGATATTGTACTAATTGTAGGCTGTGTCCTCCTGTTTTTTTTTTCTCACAGAAAAAGCAACCGTACGAGTTTGATGGCCAAGAAATAAAAGGATCTAAGTTCATTACCTCCAACGGAAGTGATTTCAGTGACCCAGTTTACAAAGAGATTGCTATTACAAATGGTTGTATTAATAGAATGAGTAAGGAAGAACTCAGAGCTAAACTTTCAGAATTCAAACTTGAAACCAGGTAATTAAACTTTAAAATTGCAAGTGTAGTACGTGCTTGCCTTAGAGTATCTTGAAAACATTGAACAATTAAAAATCATCTTTGCTAGTTACAGTGCATGCACCTCTAATTCCAGCCACTGGATAGATTGAGATAGGGAGATCTCTTGTTCGAGGCAAGCTTGTTCAACTTAGTGACCCTGTTTCAGAATAAAAGTTTTAAAAAGGGGTGAGATATAGCTCACTGATAAAGTACTTGCCTACTATGTATAAGGACCCAGCACTGTAACAAATATTTAAAAAAAAAAAAAAAACTGATAAAGACACTTAAAAAATACTGTTAAAAAAGAATGATTTGTGTCTGCATCTTTGTGTGCAACTCTATTTCTGTGTTTTGATAAAATACGATTGCTGGCTCAGATGGTTGAGTATTTCTGTGATCTAATGGTTTTAATAATCATGAGTGTTTAGGGGCTGGGGATTTAGCTCAGCAGCAAAAGCGCCTGCCTGGCAAGCACAAGGTTGTGAGTTCGGTTTCCGGTACCGAAGAAAAACCAAAAAAAAAAAAATAATCATAAGTGTTTAAAATTTTTATAGTTCATTTAGGTGACATAATTACTGAATTAATGAGATTGAGTGTTTTTTTATTTTCTTTTGGCTATTTGTGCTGTTTTTATAAAGAGATTTGTCTGAAACCAGGTGTATTAAAAAATCATTCACTTATAAGGAAGTTTTGTTTTAGTTTCTAAAAATAAAGTAGAATTATAGTATGCATTGTGTTTAACTATATTGAATGAGAAAGCAATGTAGTTGGTTGGGTGTTTTTGTATTTTTAGGGAGTTATACACATACTTACATTTTTAATAGTATCTCACAAAACAGGTCACTCTTTGATATGAGACATGGGATAGAAGTGACTTTTGGAGTCTAGAAAAATGTATAGCTTTTTTGATAGAACTACCAGGCATCAAGAACAAAATCAACTCTGTAATAGATGAAAATGTATTGTTTTAGGGTACCACAGAATCCTTATGCCCTTCTAAGTATATTTGTCCTCTTTGCTTTAAAATATAACCTCACTATTTTTCAAAAGAGCACAATTTTTTTTTTCATGTAGATTGTCTACATAATTTATGAGGAAAATTTTGACTTTATTTTCCCCAATTCTTTCTATTCTAAAGGTACAATTTGTAGCCTACAGAAGACTTTCTGAGTAAAATTTTTGTCCTTCCCAGGTGTGAAGATCATTTGCTTACTTTTGGCTTGCATGGGAGCTAGAGATCTAGATGTACGTTTATACATTCATTCAACAAGCCCGTATAGAATTCTAAGTACTACACTAGGCATTGAAGTTTTTAAGGTAAATACAGATATGTTCACCACTTTGGAAATCTCAGTGTCTTGGGAATACGCAAAAATAACCATAAATCAGAATGGCTAGTGCTACATTGGTGATCTGGCCGCATCAGCCTAAGAACAGAGGAGACAATTCAGGAAGATGACATAGGAATTGTGCCAGACAGAGAAGGGAGGAAAAGTATTTCAGGCAAAAAGAACTAAAAAGTGGAAATTCTACATTTGTATGTTTTCTGCTACATGATCTTGCCTTTTCTTTGGGTACAGTACAGCCATAGTTAATAGAATATGAAAGCATACCCCGTAGTTAGGTCATGGTGTACATTATGGTTTGCCTGTAGTATATGATGTACAAGTGTACAGTGGGGGAGCAGGAATGTTGGACAGTGATTCAGAGATGCCAAGTTGTTAGCCAAGCTGTGAAGGAACCCTATGCTGAAGCCTGCATTTTACCTTTTAAGCAAGAGAGAACCAGTAAAGATACTGGGGCAGGAAATTGGCATTAGTGCTCAGTTCTCAAGAATAAAATAGAGGACTTGTTGTATAGTCAAAGAAAGTAATGGGAGGGCTGGGGGTTTAGCTCAGCGGCAAAGCACCTGCCTGGCAAGTGCAAGGTCGTGAGTTTGGTTCCCAGTACTGGAAAAAAACCAAAACCAAAAAAAAAAAAAAGAAAGTAATGGGAGCCACAGTGGAGAAAATAGGGAGAGCCAGATTGTGAATATTTTTCTGCGTTGGAATTGGTAATAGCGGTTAATATATAGATATAGGGGAGCAAGGGAGGTGTTGAAGTCGACAGGTACCACTGAGTTTGTAGGTACCCCTTTAGTCAGTACAGTTTCTCAAAAAAAAAGGAAAGAAAAAAAAAGGAAGTCAAAGTAATGCAAAGTTGTTACATGGCACAGAGGTCACTCATTGCCTTAATATCTTGGTATGAAAGAGATAAGAGATCCCCACCCTGCCTGCCCTGAGTTTCAGTAATTTGGAAGATCTCAAACATAGGAAAACATTTTGTCTTAAAAGAAACAGTTGGTTGATTATCAGTGTTTTTCCTGGGCAAGATTCCTTTTCAGTGCTGAAATCCCAGCACTCAAATGTAGGATGATTGCAGGATGGAGCCCAGTCTGGCCAATTGAGTGAGACCTTGTCTTAAAATTGAGAGATCTGGGATGTAGTTCAGTGTGAAGACCATGGGTTCAGTGCCCAGTACAAAAATGGGGGGCACACGCAGGTGTGGCCCCCTGGTAGATCACTTGCCTAGCGTGCTCAAAGGCCTGGGTTCAATACCCAGCACTGCTCTCTGCACCTGCCAAAAAGGCTGAAAAGAATAGAGGTTTTTTTGTGTGTGTGTTTTTTTTTTTAAATCGCTAGTAGACACTGTGACCAAAATGACTCACTTGACACTACACATTGGTAACAATGTACATCTTATTTTTACTGTATTTTTTTATTATTATTTACAAGCCAGTATAGGGTTCAGTCAAGTAACACTGAAGTAAGTCTGAGCGCTGGTTGTGATTTCTAGGTTTATATACCAGTATATTGGAGAAAATGTTGTTCTGTACAGTAATGCCTCAGTTTATGAAGGTTTTTGTTTGTACACAATTCAGTTCGTAAACAAAAGCACTTACCAGAATTTTGTTTCTGTTCACAAACTCCCCATTGGCTGACAGATACAATTATGTTTATTGAATATGGCCATATTTCCCACACAAGCACAAACAGTTATTTTCCCCAGAATAGAAAAACAAATTGTTTATAAACTGAGGTACCACTGTACTACTGAAATGAAAAGTTATTTGTGAAAGAAAATGTTCATGTTGTAATAAATGTTTAACGTGTATTAGTTTTTGCTAACTTATCTTTGAATCTTCACTTTTAATTTATTTTAGTGTTTTCTAAATTATGTGGTGACTATCAGTGTTCAGTCCAGTGCCCACAGGTAAGAGTTGTGATTCTTGACTGTAAAATTTACCTTAGTAAATTATATTTTTCTTTTACTTAGAGGAGTAAAGGATGTACTAAAGAAGAGACTGAAAAACTATTATAAGAAGCAGAAGCTGATGTTGAAAGAGAGTAACTGTGCTGACAGTTACTATGATTACATTTGTATTATTGACTTTGAAGCCACTTGTGAAGAGGGTAACCCACCTGAGTTTATACATGAGATAATTGAGTTTCCCGTTGTTTTATTGAATACGCACACCTTAGAAATAGTAAGTGAACTGCTATATTTTACTTTTCACCGTAATCATTCTGATGTTCTCTAGTAAGTGGGATCTCATTTTCATTTTAGCTAGAATTAAAATTCTTAAGTGAGTCCTTTTGCTATTGTTGTGAACTTTGTGTCAACTTAATAGGAAAACCAATAAAGCAGTTTTAGAAACTGCTTCTCTCGGGGCTGGGGATTTAGCTTAGTGGCACAGCGCCTGCCTGGCAAGCGCAAGGTTGTGAGTTCTATTCCTGGTACTAGAGAAAAACAAAACAAAAAAAAAAAGAAACTGCTTCTCTCTTATTCCAGTACCTGAAATTACAGGGTTTTTTTCTGTTTTTTTAGAACATCTATGTGGATATTAGAATCTTTTGGGAAGCTAAGAGGGAAAAAAAAAAAAAACTGATTCCTGGTCTCATAGATAATAATTTAGTTGTTCTGTGGTAGAATATGCTTTGAAAACTTTTCAGGTGGTGTAATATACAGTGATGGTTGAAGACTACCACTATAGCAAATGTGTAGTCTGATCTCAAAATATGATAATTTACAGAAAAAAAAGTCACCCATCTTTTTCTGTTTCGTTTTGTTTTTGTGAGACAAGGTGTTGCTATATTATTCAGGCAGGCCTTGAACTTGCTTATGTATTCTAGGCTGTTGGCTATCTTTCTGATGGAAAGTTTATGGGACAAATTTTTGTATAACCATTTCAAAGTCATGTATGTGTTTTAGGTAATTATGGTTAGTTCATTCTTAGTTTAGGAGAAAATAGAATGAGTTCCCCAAAATACTGTTTGCTTTACAAAATCCGAGTGAGGATATGTCATAACATTTCATCTACCCAAAAAGCATGTCTTCGATATTCCTTTTGCAACAGATATGCTGATAGTAAGTGTAAGAAGACTTTGTGCATGAAAATTCATAGTTTTTTTTTTTTAATGTTCAAAGCCTATTTTATTTCCATTCACTTTGTATTTTATTCTGGCTATACTGGCTGGGAAAACAAAGGAGTCACTAGTAGAGAATTACATTATTCTGTTATTTTCAGGCAGAATTGGGGGTAGAGTTTCTAATTGTCCTTGTTGAGGATATAGATCAGTGCCAGAAGACGTCAACTGGCTGATGGGGGACAGGGACTGCTGGGAGAAAGGCAGGAAGTGGGTGTGGAATTGCCATTGGAGC